ATAATGAAGTTAGTTAAAATTGTTTTGGAATCTTTGAATATACTTACTCTAACTTCTAAGACCTTATTTTATGCACCACTTAAGAAGTTTCCTGTAGTGATACAAACTTTTGTTTTTCAAATGAGAAACCCCCCTTTTTTACCGTAAATTATCTATTAGATAATTTTTTGAGAATTTTGATGTATCGAAATCAAAATTCGAACRAAAGTTTCCTAGTTATTAAAATGTTTGTACTAAGGATAATAGTCTTTAAAAATCGTTTCACAAAAGTATAAAATAAACTTAATATTTATAAACTAGTTTTTATTATGATACTTGGGTCGTTTTTACAAATTATTTATGGTGATAGATTAATATTAATGACTAGTACTTTCAGATCCATCATAGACGACAATACGACATATTATTTTATAAATCTAAAATTTTCATAAAATTTTTGACTTTTTTTGAGTTATTKATAGACCACTGAAATTTTCATTTTTGTTRAGAATTTTTTTTGAAGTKCCGGTAAAAAAATGTTGAAAATTTCAAGYATTTACAGTGATTAGTTTTTGAATTACAACCATATAAAAAAATCGATTTTTTTGAAAACTGTTGGAAAATGTTTACTTTTGACCTCTATAATGCACCAAGGATATTCACTTTTGCATCGGAAACCACCCCCAAAGTTTGAAATTGAAGTATTATTTCGACTAGTTATGCTGTACACAGACACAAAAACAAAAAAAAACACACATCGTTGTAAAATCAAAACATTCATCACTTCATTCAGAATCTAAAAAATATCTAAATACGCCCCTGGAACAGGATGTGATTGTGAACACAAAAAGCAAACTGCTACACATATTACGGAAGAATTTAGTATTCGATGATTACAAGGAAGAATAAAAGAACTACACAGAGCCACAACGCCCACAACAGACGTAATGTAATGGCTGAATTCTTTGGATATACAAATTTAACAAAATATGCAAATCATACTCTCATTCTAGTCAACGTATTATCTATATAATCTTTTAGTTATCTTTTATTTATTTATATATATTTTATTACTTATGMCTAGTTTATACTATGTTAGTTATGTTAAACCGTAAATGTATATCTAAGCCATACAAAATAAAAATAAATAATCCTTACCCTGCGAGGCTGCAATTTATTATACCTGGATAACCACCATTCTATATTACCTMGCAAAAATTTAATATGATATTCTCATACAACATAGTTCTAGGTAGATGTATTTTATTGTAGCTATACAATTGATTTTATTTCTTGACTTCGAGAAACTATGATCTGTCAAATTCTGCAGATTTTGATAT